CCCGCGACATCCTTTCGAAATGCCTCCGGCAACATCGGGGCGATGCCCCCTTTCTCGCCTTGCGGCGCATCTATTTCACGCGAAAGGTTAGTGTCTGCCCGAGTGCTGGACCACTCCCTCTCTGCAACACACCAACCTCGCTCCCCATACGGGGTGCGGTTCTCGACCAATTCAGTGACCGGCACTGGTTTCACCAGGCCGGTTGGGTGGTGATACAATATGACAGAGTCTTGCTTTCTCTTGGCTTCTGCTATGCAGTCCTTCGGCGTCAGAGACTCAATTCGTAGTGTGCTTGTCTCATCATGGCAATACAGCACATGCATGTGCTGCATCGCGCGCCGGAAGCCGAGGTTCTGCTGCTGGGAGAGTCGCTGGAACTGATACAGAGATACATAGTCGATGAACACCCACTCCTCTCCATCAAGAGCCTTGGCTAGCTTGGTAACTTGGTATCCGTAGGGGTCGCAATGCTCTCTCGACTCCCAACAGTGGGAAAGCGAGACGAGCTGGGTGTCGTCAGGCGCCTTGCCATCGGCCCAGTCTTTGACCTTGGAAGGGTGACAAAAAGCAGAGGGAGGCTTCGGGCCGCCGCGGTCTTTGAGCAGGGAGATTATTGAAAAAATGGCACATCGCGCGCCTCCTCGTGTGTCACCAGCGCCGTGCGGCCGTCCACGTAAGCGGACTCCGCTTCCTGGCGCCGCGGGAGACGCTGTCCTTCCCGGTGCAGCTTCTTAATGAAGTCGGCTCGCACCTGGGCAGGACGCTTCATTGCTTCACACAGCAAAACTGTCAGAGGTGTGATCCGTCACAGGTTGATTTTCACGCACAACAGGCAAGATCGGATGGCTGCAGGCCTTTGCAGATTCAACACTGCAGCCCGGGGTGTGCACCAAGCGGATGTCCGCATCTTTCAGGAAGTCCGCAAGCCCCTGCTTCTGAGCCAGGTCGTAGCTCTTGGACTCGCGCAGGCGTTGCGCGACATCGCAGTGGATGAAGTTGCACACACACCACGCATTACCACGCTCCAGCCTCTTGCGGCTCTGGAGCTGGATCCGGGCGGCGGAGGCGGCGCGCCAAGTCCTCGCAGCTCAGCAGCCCCTCGCCTCCGCAGGGAAGCATCCACCACGAACCATCTTTCCGAAAGCACACAGCACACAGCGTCTCTGACGCTGATGGTGCAAAAAAAACAAAGCTCCCAACGATCGGGGACGACGTCTTGCAAGATGCCCTGACCGAGTCGTTCGGAGCACAGGCAAACTAGGCGTGCAGTCCCTGCCTGGAGCATGTCCACGGTGAAACGATCGCCTGAAGCACTCAGGGAGAATAGCAAGGCTCGACAGCATGTATTGTAAGGCTGCTTCGCAGTACTGGGTTGGCCATGCGACAGTTGGAGAGTCTAGGCCAGTCTATGGATCGCCTATTGACTTCGAGAAGTCTCTAGTCTCTAGAGTAAGAAAGGTTTGGACTCGCCACATGCCACCCAGCTACGTCCTTCGCCTTATTTTCGGCCAACTTCAGAGTCCAAGGTATAGCTGAAATAGAAGCTATGTGCTGCCTTGTGAGCTTGCGCATTAATGACAGATCATTTCTGACTTCTGAAGGAAGTTGAAACCCTACTTGCAGCTGAAGGATCTGGCCTTGCAGGTTCCTGACGATGACGCGGAGCGCGTCCTTGGAGATCCTCCTCTTGCCCGGGCCACCCTGGCAGAGGAGAAGCGGGCAAGAAACATGGCTATTGTGTTCTCCCGTTCGCTGAGCTTGATGAAACCCCGCATTGCACTCCGAATCGACCCCGAGTCTGCATTTCACCAGACAACAGACCGATTGCAAGAAGCAACAAAGGCGGATGGCTCAGCAGGGTGGAAGAAGAGCAAAATCAGCTACTCCATTCGAGGTCATAAGCAAAAGCAATTTCGGCTCACCTCCAACTCACCGAGACATCCCCGCGCGAGCTGTCACCTACGTAGACAGAACTACAGACCGAGCAGACACCGCTCTGCCTGAACTGCCTGAAGATGATGCCATAATAATTGCAGAGTTTGGTGTTGGCGTCACCCGCCCTCGAGCCCGTGGCACCAGCTGGATGTCCGCATCTTCGAGGAAGTCTGCCAGCTTGCTCTTATCAGCCAGGTCGTACTCCTTTCCCTGCACTGCCGAACCCCGGTGCCCTCTTTTTGCAAGAGATGGTGGGGATGCGGAGCGCCTGCGCTGCTTTGGAGGTGCCCGGATCCGAGTGGTCGCATGAACCTCTCCTCAGCGGACCGCGAGTTGCATGCATGGAGCAAAGTTGTCCAACACTCCGAAAAACGAAATCCCCGCTTCCCTTGCCGTTTCTGAACCTCCGGCCGAAGCTTGCTGGTCTTCCCCGGCTTCTCGCCCTCCTCCGGTGGCTCCTGCAGCTTGGGAGCCCCCAGATCTCAAGAGAGACGGCAGCAGATCGAACGCCCGCCGTCTTCTGCCGTGGCCCTTTGTCCTCCTGATGCACGCAATCCGGCAGGGAGCCCTCGAGCTTCCGGAAGCTTTGGCTCTGGCCCTCGCCTCGGCTCCCGCGGCGCTTGGAAGGGTCCGGACTCTCTGAGCTCAAGGGAGCTCTCTTCAATGCTTGTCCCTGCACGCGCTAAGTCGCTAGGACGAGCACTGCGGGTCTCGGGAGCTTACTTCTAACATTTCGAGATCGACCTTTGGAGCCTTTTTTGAGTTGAGCCCACAATGAGCCCGGGAATCGTGGGCATTAGGAGGTGCAGACATCACCGGGCTCCACGCGATCACCAGGAGCTTCTGGCAGGGCGTCCTGGCTCCAGGTCTTTGGTTTTGGGAGGTGGGGCCGCCGCATGACTTGATCTCACCTGCCGCGCCCGCTCGGCGACACCAGTGCCTCCCGTGCAGACGCCGGCCAGATGATGTCAAAGCATTCTGAAGAAGGCTTGGTCAAGCAGATGGCCTCGGAGCCCGGGGATTCCCTCGCCGACTCGGTCAGCTTCGGCTTCCTGACCGGGCTTGCAGCATTGCGGCCTTCCTGTGTCTTGATCCTGACAATGACGAACCTTGTTTTAACTTCCGTCTTGCACGACGCACAAGGAAGAGCCTATCACTGACTTGTATACTTCTCCTTCAACCCAACACCTGTTGTATCTACCTACCTCATCTGGGAGATCTTCTGCGCTACCTCCGAGGTATTAGACAATGGCCCAATTCGATATCTCCGTCCATGATCTGGAAACCTGCAGACCCCTTGGTGAGCGTTCACTGCCTACTGTCGGCACTCCATGGAACCCAACCACATCCTCGCAACTGTGAAGCGATTCCGAAACCGTACACTTCCTTCAGGTTTTGTTTCGGCATCGCGGAAGTAAGAGTAAGCCCTGCAACATTGAAAAACAAATTGCACAAAATTCTCAAAGAGTGCTGGGCATCTCTCTCTCTCTCTCTCTCTCTCTCTCCCCGCTTTGACCTTCCAGCATGTGCCCAGCCGGGGGCCTCTCCAGGCTCGTCCCGACTCCGGAGGCGGAGGAGGAGCTTCCGGCAGCTCAGCAGGCCTTCGCCTCGCTGCTGCTTTTCACTTTCAAGAGGAGCTCATGCAGGGTTAACAACTTGTCTTGGAATTTGCGGGTGCTTCTTTCGAGGCTTGGAGCTTTCGGGGCCTGGTTCTCGCTTTCTCCGCGAAGCCTCTAAAGCACTCAATATAATCCTTGTTGGCAAGAGCTCGCTGAGTGCCCTGCCATCGCTGGGAACTTCTTGCAAAAGGCCCTGCACTCCGTGTGACATAGCTTTTCAGGTGAAAACACAGTCTTGAAACAGAAGACCGATTGCTGTGCCAATCTGCTCCGGCCTGAAGTTCCTCCTCTGTGATACTGTTGCCTTGCACACAGCTGCTTCCAGCAGCCGCCGTAGTTTGCAAGGCGCCCATGCTCGTGTGCCAGCCTCGAAGGCTTTCGACGATGTCGCAGAATGTCTCTTTAGACACTCTTTCCTTCTCCTCCCGAACCTGGTGGGCGGGAATGTTAGGAATGCCGGCTGAAAGCAGCCGTTCAGTGGGATAAGGCGGTGCTGTGATGCGCGAGCACCGGCCAAAACGGCCCCTCCGGGCCTCAGTCGCCATCCGAGCCCTGGCCTTCGGCCTGGCCGTCTTCGGGAAGAAAGGATCGCATGTCGATTCAGAGGTTGAGGAGGTGGTGCTTTGCCTGGGTTCCTAGATGTTCCGTCGGTGAACCTGCAAAGGGGTTTTCGTGGAGATTCGGTAACCCAAAGCTTTGACAAAAACTGCCGGGCCTAATGAAAGCCCGCTCAGCCGAACCCCCTTTTTACAGTCTCACCTGTGGATTCCCTGCGTGTTTCACGCCTCAACAGCCTGTGTGCGACTACCACAACAAACAGCCTACCAGGTCGAGCCTGGCCCGAGCTTCCACCAGCAGATTCACCGAAGACTTCGTCGTCACAGGAACAGTTTGGGAGAGTCCCCTGGGCCTGGTCAAGCTTTTTTTTGGGGGTTTTGGGTCGAAAGCTGAAGTGGCCTCTTCTCCATTAACTCAAGCCAAAGAGCACACAAACAACCAACCACCCCCGAAGGCCTCGAAACTTCGCAACTTCACCGAACCACGAACCCTGGAGGCCCCCGGCACCTTCGGCTTGGCCCAGTCCCGGCAGCTTTGGCCAAGGCCTCCGCACCGGCACGCCGGATCTTGAGGTTCAGAAGCGAAAAGAAGACATATCCTAGCACTTCGAAGTCGGCTCGCAGCGTTGGAAAACAGCTTCACAGATGGGAGAGCGAGCCGTTGCATGTCTGGCCTTGTCTCTCTGGTTGGGAGGCCGGGAGAAAGGAAAAATGGCCCCGCCCCTGACGCTAATACTTGCTATAGCGTGACTTCATCATGTGCCACGATGGCTTCTGTTCAAAGTTGATGGCAGCGAATGTCAGTCATGGATGGGCATGGGACACTGGGAGCCGAAACAGCCACCAGGTCGCTGTTTGTCCCTGCGACGAGCCAAAAGGTCACAGTGCTCCCCTGATGCCGACCCCTAGCATGCCGATGATCAAAAGCAAACCTCAGGGAAAGCCTCTCTGTAGCAGCTCCACGCCCAGGTGAGAGAACACTGAGACAAGGATGAATGTTGGAGGGTAGCAGTTGCTGGTCGAGATCTGTTAGGCCTCAACTGTGAGGTCCCGACACTCTCACAACCGGATGATGGCACTTTCCGTGTTTACGGTACAGCAATCTGAGAGACAAGTTCTGTCAGGCTTCTTGTGGCTCTCCGCAAGTTCTGTGGAGGATTCGAGCCTCGAAGCCTCGAGATTTACACCTGTTTGTTTGACTACGTTCGTGCTCTGGGCCTTGGGGCTTCTGAAGCCCGGAAGGTCCACATGGCCTTTCTCCACGAAGGCTCCAGACCCTCCACGGGAACGGAACCCCTCGAGCCTCAACAGCTCTTGGACCTTTGCCCTGCTGCTGCGGCTTCGGCGAAACCTTATAATGACAGAAACAAACTCCGAGGACCTGAACAGGAACAGCAGCTCCAACTGGATCACAACAAGATCACGGAATATCGAATAACCTCCGTGAAGCCCAAGCCCTTGGCCCTCTGGTAGCGCCCTCCAGCCTTCCAAGGAAGCTTTTTTTTCATCCCTTGCAAGGTCGGCTCTTGTCGCAGCTGGTCAAAGCCGGTCCGCCATGAGCCACGGGCCCCGCCTCGGGTATATTGATTAACTGCGAAGGTTTCAAGCAGTTCGGGGTGTTTAGAGCTGTTGGGCTGTCAAGAGTCAAAGGTTCTTGTGGGTTCGAACACCGGCTTCATATGTGATCTTCCACATCTTCCACGGACTTCTGCAGAAAAATCTGTTGGCGAAACCTGCTCCAGGCATCTCCCCTCTACAATTGGAAGACTGAAAACTTGACATCCTGCCAGCGGACTGCAGACTTGAAAAAAAACATATCAGAGAGGCATGAAAGCATCCAACTCTCATAGATCCAAAAACCTTGTCCCCCCAATTTTAGGGCTTTACAACAAGGGTTTAGCATAGGGGTTTCTTACCGCTCTTTTGCAAATGTCCCATGCACGGGAAAGCTGAGACGAAGGCTACATCGGGTCCGTTCGCTAATCCCTGAACCATCACAAAAACAGCAGAAACGTCCCTTGAGATCCTTCCTGGAAGCTCCTAAACCAAAACACCAAAGCCCCAATACAGGAACCCCACGGAAGAAACAAAACATTTGTCACTGCTCAGGCTTGATTTTTCCTTTCTTCAACCCCTGAACTCTTACAGAGAGTGCCAAGATGCCAGAGGAATCC